AGGCTGTCACACGGTAAGGACGCCCAGGCCATGTGGGAGCCACACGTAAGTGCGTTCTACTCCAGCTGTGGCCCTGCCAATAGCCAGCACCACAAGCATCCAGAGGATTCCAGCCCCTAGTCACTGAGTCCCTCTCAATCTTCAAGTCCTTCTGACGGAGGCCCCAGATACTGTGAAGCAGAGACAAGCCATCCTGGCTGTGTCCTGTCCTATTTGCTGAGCCACAGAGCCCGTGCCTGTAATGAAAACGGTGGTTCTGGGCCACTAAGTTCTGAAGTGTCTGGCCATCAGCGGTGGTACACAGCTCAGCTGGTGAATGGTGAGTCGGACTTGAGGGCAGGGCCCTCCGGCTCCCTGTCCCCTGCTCTGTCAGCTGTGTCATGCTGTCCCTCCATGAGGATAGCACCAGAGACTGCCCCATGTGGGCCATGAGCCAGCAGTCCCAGGAAGTAAGACCACGTGAAGTATTTAGTCCTATGGCCGTGTCACCGACAAGAAAACCGAGGCTCGGAGGGAGTAAGCTGATGGCCCCAGGCCCCACACCTAAGAAGTGCCTGAGCCATGCCATGAACTCAGGTCTGACTCCAAAGCAGGGCTTTCCCCCAAAAGGTAGTAAGACCAGAAATACACAGAAGCATGTGGAGAGCAGGTCCGAAGGTACGAGCGCAGAAACCTGAGGCCCAGCTGAGATTTTCCATGGCCTTGCTCTGCTGCCAAGGACTTCTGAGAGAAAACCTGTCAGCTGGTCCAGCCACACAGAGGCGGGCTAACAGAATCTGGAAATGTCTTCATCGGTTCCAAGGCACACACAAACATGACTTGCCCTCTCTGGGGGTCAACGTTCTTTATGATTTTTGCTCTCCAGGAAAATATTAGTTCATTTATATAAACGAAACATTACATATGGGGGGGTTGAAAACGTGGCATTCCTGGCCCTCTCGCCTCCACAGCCCAGAAACCGAGAAGGTCTCTCCGTTTCCGTTCTCACAGGCTATTTGTTGGTGCGGAGCTGCCGGCGCGGTCACTCCGCAGGGTGGAGAGTTGGCAGCTCTCTGTGGGGCACAGGGGCTCTCACAGACATGAAGGGCACAGCCTCAGCCCGGGACCACATTGACATTAACCAAGGCCTCTGAGAGACCCAAGTCCCAGCTGCTCTCAGGGCTGGGTCAGCAGGTCTCAGCGCCTGAGGCAGGCGAGCTGGTGAGAGAAGTGGGCACAGCCGCATGGAAGGGTCAAGGAGCCCACCGACCATCTTGGTCGTGCTCACACTGGCCTCCTCTGGCTCCTTCCTGTGCCACGCCTCCTGGCTTTTGCTGCCTGTCTCCCTGCTGAAGCCTAAGCTCCGTGTGGGCAGGTCTCTGCCTTGTTCCCTGGGTAGCTGGCTCAGGGCGAGGGCCTGGCACAGCAGGCCCCGGATGTCCTGAGTGCATGAACTCATGAAGGCATCTCGGGTCCTCTCCTTGGCAGGTGTGGGGGCGGGTGCCTGACTGCTGGAAAGAGACCCTGGAGCTGTAGCTTAAACCCCCATCCCAAGGAGCTGAGGGAGGCTGCGTTCTTCCCATTCCTGGGACTGCAAGAGGCACATTCCTGTCCCTGGGCCCGGCCGGGCTCCTGCCACGCAGCCCGGTCTGATTGCCAGATGGGGGAAGGCCTCCCGGGAGCTGCCCCTCTGGTCCCGCCCTCCACAGGACCCCTCGGCCGCCCCACGCTGCAGCAGCGCCCGCCTCTCTGTCCTTGGAGACGCTTCGAGGCTGCGGGTGGGAAGCCAGGACCACTGAGCACGTCGGAAGCCTTCCAGACACTCCCGGGCCCTCTGGTGATCAATGAAAACCTTAACATCCTGCTTCCCGGGCGGGAGCCAGGGCTTTGGAAAACTGGTGGAAAACACTCCTGTGAGCTGGGCTCGCACCACTGTGTGAAAAGTGCTGCCTCAGCACTTCCCCGGGAGTGTGGAGTCAGCAGTCCGCAGCCCTGGAGCTGCCTCCCAGAGCCCAGTGCCTGAAGGCTCGGGCCAGGGGCTCAGAGGCCGGGCCGGTGCGGCTATTTCCCCAGGGCCCCTATGTGCCAGGCCCTGGGGACGCCGGACGGGGTCCTTACGCTGGGGGGAAGGCAGACGGGGGCAAATGTGCACAGGTAACACTCTGATCCCCACGGGGAAGGGCTGCGGAGAAAGACCAGCTCCACAAGAGTGTACAACGCTGGGCTGGCAGAGTTTCTGCAGAAAGCCAGATGGTGAATATTTTAGGCTTTGGAGGCCATAGGGTCTTTGTCCCAACCACTCAACTCTGCCACTGTCACGGAAAGCAGACACAGACAATATGTCAACGGATGGGTGTGGCGTGCTCCAACACGAAAACAGGGGTGGGCTGGATGTGGGCCAGAGTCTGCCAACCCTGGTGCAGCGGGGGCCTGACCTGGGCGGGGACGGGGCAGGGGGGTCTGGTGGCAGGAAAAGCACCTGAGGCGGTGACGTTTCACGAACAGCTGAAGGCTGATCCGTGACGGAGGCACAGTCAACACTGACGACAACGACAGCATCCTAGCAAAGACACACTCGGTGAGAGGCTGTGTGTGTCCGGCACTGGACTGTCTCACACACGGGGTCTGAACAAATTCCCACAACAGCCGTGGGAGGGAAGCATTATGAGGCGCACTTTACCAATGGAGAAACTGAGGCCTGGCGGGTACATCGACTGTTCTGTTTGCTCCCTCGGTCGCCGAGTCCTCCTCAGCTCAGGAATCACGGAGTTGGTGACACTTTCTCCTTTCCAGGTCCCTCAGCCGAGGGGGCCGGCGCCTCACTACGCTTTACCCATTTCAGCTTCATTAAAGTCTCTTCGTGTGAGCCGGGGCAAGTGTGGGGGAGGAATTCTCTTTGCTGCCGGGATTCTGACCGAAGCTGGCAGTTAGTTAACTTGCTGGGTTCTGACCTCCCACGGCTAATAAACGGCAGAGCCGATGGAGGGGACAGTGGCTAAAACAGGAAAGTCTGGCAGACCCAGAGGAGGCTGGGCCAGGGGCTGGGTCCTGGCTCCCAGGCCCCGTTTCCATCCTAGGCAGGGGTCAAAAGTCAGTACAGCTCCTCCTTTCCTGCCCAGGGCTCAGTGAGGGGGTCAGTTCCTGAGGCCCCCAATGAGCAGAGGTTAGTATCCCGAGCCTGGCTGCTGGCCCACAGGCTCCAGCCTAGCAGGAGGAGCTGGTGGTGCTCAATGCAGAGCTGGCCTGGGGGCAGCGGGGGGCCCTGGTCTCTTCCTCAGGAAGGAGGGAGTGAGGCAGGTGCTGGTCAAGTGAAGGGACCTTCGGGGTCAGACAGATGCCTAGAGGGAGGGGGAGGCCTCTGCTGCCATCTGGCCTGGTAACAGGCAGCCCCCAGACTTGCCGAATGGCTGAGACTCGGGAGGCAAGGCCGGCAGAGGAGCGGGCCTGGGCTGCAGGCGGTGTGCACGGCAGCAGGGAGGAGGAGGCTCTCTGGGGCTCTGCGATGAGGCTCCAGCCGTCACACCCCGCTTGCGCTCCAGGCCAGTGTGCGCGAAAGGCCCACCCGGAGCCTCAGCCCGGTCCTTCCTTTCACCCATTGGCCCATGAACCCCGGGAGGCCCAAGCGTCCATCGAGCACAAGCCTTATGCCGGATGCTGGAGGCTCATCCGCTGGGATGAGGGCCTCAACTAAGTGAGGCCCAGTGACCAGAAAAAGAGAATAATTACAAATGGGGGTGTCATAACGAAACAAAGAGCTGAAATAAAGTCTCTCTGAGTTGAGAATGATGAGTAAGAGCCAACCATGGAAACAGGAGGGAAAGGCATTCAAGGCATATGCAAGGGTCCTGGCTGAGGAACTTTCCAGAGGCCCTGCTTCTCTCAGGCAGAGATGAGGCTTAAGTTTGGCCTGTGGATGGAGAGAGTCACTAGAGAGAGGCAGAGCTGGCCCCGAAAGCCAAGGCTAAGCCCTTCCCTCTGCCATCTCTCTTCCTGCGCCGTGCTGGCCCCCTCAGGGCCTTGCTGCCTGTCTCCCTGCTAAAGCCTAAGCTCCCCGTGGACAGGTCTCTGCCTCGTCCCCCTGGGTCCCTGGCTCACTGTAAGTGCCTGGCTCATAGCGGCACCCCCCATCCCTCCCTGCTCAGTGGCTCCTGCGTGCGGGGAGAGGGAAGTGGGAACGGCCCGACGCGGCAGGGGCAGAGGTAATGGAAGCCCGCAGCAGGAAGGGGCACTAGGAGATGCATCCTCTGGCACCGTCCGGAAGGTAGAAAGAGTGACTGTGGGGACTTCTTGGCACGTGGGGAAGGCCAGAGACTTGGCTTATCCCTCTAAGGCACATTAGCCAGGTAAGGCGGCAGAGGCCTCTTACTCAAACTAATTTGAAGGAGACTCAAGGGCAGAACGCTTTTGATCGGAGCCCACTCTGCTCCAGAATTTTGGCATCAATCTGCTGAAGAAAGTCCTGAATGGTTAGTGTTTGCTACCGTTCCTTCTCTGGCCCACAGCAGCTGCTTTAGAATCCTGCTGCTATTACCTATGTCCCTCTGATGGGAACCCTGTCCCCAGCCCCCTTAATCACTAGGGACACTCTGTGTGTCCCAAATGTGTGAGTAAAGCTGATGTTCCAGGTGGGTGAGCCGCCCATGTCTGGAGGCACCACGTCCCCAGGCATCCCGTGCCGCTCGCCTCCAGGTCACATCAATCCGAGCCCAGGCAGCAGGACCAATGCTAAGGGCCTACGTGACTCGGAGAAGTTTTCTCTGCCCTGTGCATGTTCCCAGCCTGCGGTTCTGACCTGGCTTCTCTTGGGGCTGTTTGGTCCCAGGCTCTTTGAGGGAACCCCAGCCCAGAGGTAGCCCAGAGGGGCCCCGTGGATTAGGAGCCTGGAAGGTTGGTGTGCAAGGGCTGCTAGGTCCATGGAGTCTGGCAGCCTGCCACTCAACTGTGCCCTTGATGCCACGGTCAGGGCCAGCCCCGGCCCGGGCCATTAGTGGGTGTGTCCCCACTCGAGGTGGCTATAGTACCTGCGAGATCTTCCTTGGAAGAGACCAGTCTCGGAGAGCTGCTTCCGGGTTCAATTCGGAGTGACAGTCTGGAAACAAAGATATTCATGCAATCAGAGGGGCTCTGGTGTATCACAGGGGACTGATCACATGTGTGTCTGGAGTCGGGAGACAGGACTGCTGCTAAGAGCTAGAGCCTCGGAGCCCAGGAGCCCCTTGGGGTCTGTTCTAGATCTCAAGACAAGCCTGGGGACTCGGTACGTTTATCGTCCCTACCTACCAGATGAGGAAACAGTAGCAACGTTAAATAGCTCCCCAAATTCATGGGCTAGCAAGTAGCAGGGCACACAATCCAACCCAGGACTGTCTGACCTGAAATCAGGGTTTTCAATCGTTACAGTGCACCCCCTTCTCGGATGCCGCAGAGAGGCAAGACCATGGACTCGTTAGGAGGACTGGCACCTAAGTATTATCATTATTATTATTTTAAGTACTGATTAAGAACCTCTGGATGAAAATGGTGGAGTGAAGCCAGATGGCAGACTCCCCTTCTCCCAACAAATTATAAAGCCTTAGGAATAGAACTTACCAGCTGCAAGTCAATAAGAAAAGGGGCTGAGCTGAAGCCATGAACTTCAGAAACTTGTAGCCAAGGAGAGAAAAAGAGGATTGTGGAGTCTGACCAAGAGGTGTGACAGCTGGGCTCCAGTATCCTGCCCTCTGAGGTGTCTCGGTACATCTGAGCAGGAGTCCCTACCTCTCCCTCTTCAGAGTGGCACCAGATGTTGGCAAGAAACACATGAAAGGAGTGGACAACATGGTGGTACTCTGGCAGAAATGAAGGTTCCACTGAGGGGGTGATTTGAAACCCAAATCATCTTTCCCAAAGGTGCCCCTTTCTGGAATGGGATACAGCCTCCAACGAGGTGGGGGAGACCCTGATACAGGCCTTTTAATAGAGCCCCCATATCTAAAACACACCGACTGCTCCCTGCCTCCTTGGAGCCCGAGCCCTGTGTTCCCCCAGGCTAGAGAAGAAGGGAGAGACAAAGCACCCTGACCTCACAGCATGGCAGGAGGAAAAGCCAGCCCACCTCACACATATGGAAGCAGGGTCAGATGTCACCTCCCTGCATTGGAGCCATGGAATATCCAGATGGAGCTTCTCAAATGGGAGCAAGACAAAAAGAAATGGTATGGCAACCTAGCAAACATCTTCTCACACAAAGAAGGAAAAAGAAAGGAATCAAGCATTGCCTAGATTACTCAGCCCAGGAGGCAGCCCCAAGGGATACAAGGAAATCTCCCCAAGTGTGACCCCCCCCCCCCATGGGTTGAATAAAAGCAAGACCTGAAAAATGAGATGATGACACAAAGGAGTAAGATGGAAAGGGAGACTGGGGTCCTAGGGGACCAATCAAGGATCAGATGAGTATCTAAGTAAAGACAGATGGTCCCAGTGTCTGTGAGGAAAAGACAGAGATTATAGCCACTAGGAAAAGCTAGGGGACATGGAAGGTAGACAGCCCCCAACATATGGCTGCCTGGAATCCCTGAAAGAGGAAAGCCAAGAAATGGTACAGAAGAAGTCAAAGATCACCCAAAGAATCCCTCCGAAATGAAGAAAGGGCATGCCAGGTTCCAGGGAAATCTGGTACAGAACACTCCACTCTGAACCATTCCTCTTGTGCCTTTGAACTTCAAGGCATCCTTTACCCACCAGGCAGATAAAGCAAGTCACGGACAAGAGGAAAGGATCAGACTGGCTCAGACTTCCCTACACCGGCAGCCAGTGTCCGAAGGCAACGGGAGCCGGGCCTCCAAGTGCAAGTGCTGGGGGAGAGGCCAGAGGCGTGCGGGCCTGTGAGGCGAGGCCCCGTCACATGTGGATGTTTTCACGAGGGACATCAGAGCATGCAGGACTTGTGAAAACCTGCCTCACGGGGAAATCCAGCTAAGTAAGAGAGTCATTAAAATAAAGACTCCAGGAATGGAAAAGCTGTGGAGGAACACAGGTGGTAAGAATTGAATCTGTTTAAAAACACTAAATCAGTAGGAATTATGGTTCCCGAACATAATGTGTATGTTATGACTTGGACTGTGCAGTAATAATAACACGACTAACAGAAGACTGGAAGATGGTGAAGGGGAGTTGAACGCGAGGAAGACGGCTGACGTTCTCATCTTTCACAACTGGCCAACCGACCCTGCACACGGTGGGGACCCGGTTAAAACAGGACTCACCGGCTCAGACCTCTTCGTGTTTTTCCCGACCGCTCTTAGTAATCTTAGGAGACTCTCTTAGGAAATTGTAATTGTAATTGTGCTGAAGAAATATTTATTTAAGGAGCAGCTAATTCTTTACATTTTATTTCCCTTTCTTTTTCTGGTTAAATTAAAATACTTTCAATTAAAAATAGCAAGTGTTGCATGATCCAATTTTAATTAGTTCTATCATTCCATCCGACCATCTGTCCATCCTTCTCTGTGTCTCTATACACTTCCTATGCATTAAAAATGTCCCAAATTATGTTCACTTAATGCTAAAGGTCATGCTTTCTAAGTGGTAGTAATTTGGGTAATTTTTCTTGACTAAGATAAAATGGGCAAAGAGTAGAGAAAAAGAAGCACTGTTTGGGCCCCGCGTGGCACAGGGTCTCCCAAGCAGATGGGGGCAGGGTGTCAGAAATGCTCCATCATCAGGAGATAATGAAGCCACCTCGTCCTTCTGGGTGGGGAACAAGGCTCAGGACATAAGTTGGGCCACGGAGCATGGGTTCCTCAAGCAGAATCACAAGCCCTGCATGTCCTGTGTCACTCAGAGCTGGGGCCTCCCTGGGGAGGGACCCCGTCCATGGTCCAGCCCCTGCCAGGGAAGAGTGCAGGCTTCTTCCCTTGGTTTGCCCACTTGGACCACAACAAAGGGCTTTTGTGAAATCCAGGCTGGCTGGTTAGCAGTAAGCACAGGGGGTGTTCAATGCCCTTCAGGATGGAAGGAGTAATTACTCATGACCTGCAGCTTGTCCAAGGATTATCTCACGGTCAGAAATATTTATAGACTATTTTTCTCCTTAAAGGATATTAGTGTTAATGAAAAACTGCTGTCTCTTTAATTGTACTACAGGCACATGAATGGAAAATATGATCCCAGAACCTAAGAGGGAATAATTTCACACTCTGGGGTACTCTTTTCAGGAACAGCAAATGCTTTGTAAGTAAAATGAGCTTAATTTGTGGCAAACATAATTTCAGTGGTAATCTCTGGCCTTCGTCTGTTGTTGTTATTGTTATGCAATAGATCACAATTTCATATGATACTCTGCTCTAACAAAATATTATATAATAACAACTAAAGACTTTATGTCTGTGCTCCCAGAGATGGCTAATTATTAGAACCACCCAGGGAACTTTGAAAAAATACAAATGCCCAGGCTCTACCATGAACATACAGATGGTTATAAGGCTTCGCAGGTGACTCTGATTCACCGCGAGGGCAGAGAACCACGACTGCAGACATGGCCAGATGTGGAGCACATCCGGAGTGACCGGGGCTGTCACTAGTGGCCACAGTTCCCTACAATTTTCAGTGTTTTGACGAAGACCAAGTAATCAAACTGGTCAAATTTTCGATACAAAGCTGGAAGAGATGAAAAATATATATATATTGGATAATGGGACTCAAAGGAACATGGTCCCCGGAAGCAGCCAATAAGACGAGATTTGAAAGAATACACATAAAGTTGACATTTAGGGGGAAATGATCAGTTACAAGACGGCTGAGATCCGCCTCGATAGCAGGTCATACAAAAAGTACTGAGACTCTTAGCGGCCTCAAGCTCAAAATGAGCCAAGAGGATGTCCGAGCAATGTGGCAGACAGAGTTGATCTGAAAAATCTTCCTTCTCCCTCTAAACACACGGAAGTACTGGGTAAATTCCCGGGTGTCACAAATGAAGAACCAGCTGAAAGCCAGAGCGGGGTGAAGGGAAGATGAGGACAAAGGGCCCACAGGGGTCTTCGTGGGAACAGAGTCAACTCCAAAGGGCTGCATGGGATGCAGATGAGGCCACAGCCAGGGCCGGACGGCGACAGTCCTGCAGAACACTGGGGCCACAGGGAGCCGCCTCATCCCCGAAACAGGCTCCCGGAGAGCTGTCAGCCTGCAGCGTGGCTAGAGAGCTGCCCTTCCTTCCGCTCAACGCTATGAGCAGCGGTGGAGGGGTAGTCACTTGTGAGGACCCGGGCACAAAGCCTGCGTCACACACAGCCGTGGAGTCCATGTTCATGCTACCCATGCAACGTGGGAAAGCCAGGCCGAGAAGCTGACAGAACAATTTCCTCAGATCTATGGGGCCTGGGCGGCTGGGGCCGCAGTGCTCCCACGCGCTGGGTCACCTGCCCTGCAGGCGGCCACTCACGGGTCCCAAGGGGCTGCGCGAGGACGGCCACTCACTTGTAGTTGTCGTCTTCCACAAACTTCTGGAGCTCCTCGATGTAGCGCACGGACTTCAGGTATTTCTGCACGTGGGGCAGGGTGGTGAGGTGATCTGCAGGACACGACAGAACCCACAGCGTCAGTCTCTCCCCACCCCACAGGGCAAGTGTAGGAATTGCTGGTGCATGCTGCCCCCTCCCCGACCCCACATACCCCGAAGTCACCACCGGTCCTTGGCTGGGAGAGAAAGGCCTCTATCACAGACCGGAGCCGGGTGTCTGTCCCCTAACACAGGTGTGCCTTGGGGCAGCTGGGAAGCCTCCCAACCCCCTGCATGACAAGAATGCGAGATGAACTGACAAACCCCATCAACCCAGGGCAGAGGTCCGACCCTGGTCCCAGCACAGCTTTTGAGTCTGGCCCGTGGTCTGGAGCTGCTCCCTCCTGGGGCCTAGACACCTGGGCACCTGTTTTGTGCCAAGCTAGGTACCAGGTGGTTTCCAGAAGGCATCTGCTTTAACTGTCACATCTGCCTCATTTGGGGGAAATACTATGTCTGTTGCACAGAGAAAGAAACTATGGCAACTGTGGCAACTGGCAAAGATCAGATCATCGAGATGGGGCCAAGCCAGGTTTCGACCCCGTCACCGGATGCCTCTGCCACGTCACAACCCCCCTTTTCCCCAGGTGCCCTCTGCAGTCCTTCATGGTCACCACGCTCCAAGGGGTTCGAACATCCTCCAGGGTCCTCTCTGCCATTCCTCCAGGGGTGGGACAGAACAGAACAGGTTGAGGGAAGAGGTGGAGGCAGTAAAGGAGGCTGTGAAGGAGGAGAAAGGGGGTGGGGAGGGCCCCCCACTCTTGGGGATGGGCGTCCAGCTGCTGTGAGGAGCCCCTGATGGCTCTGCCTCTTGGCTGCAAGGTTTGGAACAGGTTCGTTCTGCTTCTCTAGAGCCTCAGTGCTCTTGTCCTGGGGCTGATGACATTGCTTCCCGAAGTTGATGATGTCTGAGAAGGTGTAGGTCAATGAGGGTGACAGTCGTACTAGGAGTTCCTGAGCTCTAGTGAAATGTGGGAATGTGCCGAGGGCTCTGCACGCCTTATGTCTCCACTCCGCCGATGAGAAAACCTCGCACTTAGAGAGAAGGGAGTGACTTTTCAGGTGGCAGAGCTGAGATTTGGGCCCGAGTCCGTCTGACCCCAAAGCTGTGTGTGTAATCGGCCTGCAGGCCGGCGGGACAGCCGGTGCTGATGCACTTGTGAACGGAGAGAGCCTACGCGGGGGAGGACTGTACGGGGAGTCTGGACCCCTCGCTGCTCCTCCAGCCAGGACAGCTGATCTGGAAGTGCCTGTGGAGGGGTTTGGACGGGACCTTTTGCTTCAGCAAGCCCGCCCCGCAGAACCCCACCCTGGCTTCCCTGTGGCCTTCCCAAATGGAGGCTCTTAGTTTTCTCCTGCCCTGTGTACTGTAGGTGGGGTTGGTTTCCTTCCTGTCCCCCTTGGCTGCTTCCAAACTTTTATCCCTCTACCCACTTATGAAAACCCTGCCCCGCAGAGGCACAATCCTGCAGCTCTACCACCCAATACCCCTCTTCACGGCTGACTCCTCCCGACTGGCGCTCTGGTCATTCTTGCCCCTTCCTGGGGGACCTGGACACCTGGCTCACAGGTGCATCCCACACCCGAGTCCACTGTCATCCTGGGTGTAATCGACATCCGCATGGACGGCCCAACTAGCGCAGCGTTCTGGCTTCTCTGTTCCTCTGCTTCATCTCTGACAACTGGTCACACTTTGGATCCAGTCATGTATAGCAGAGCCTGGCCAGAATGTACCAAGTCATCTCCCTTTTTCCACTAGGCCCACAGCTGGATTATATTTCCTAGCCCTGCCCTGCTGCAGCAGAACTGATGAGCACCATGTACAAATCTGGTCCATAAACCCTACTCTTGTATGATTCTTCTCCTCTTGCATCTGCCAGTCAGATGTAGAGTCCACTAGAGGACCCAGAGGCCACTGGACGTGGTGGAACCACAACACAGAGGGACCCAGGTCTCTGAATCCTCTCGGAGGAGAGATACCCAGAGGCTGCCCACAAAGCTCTTCATGGATGAATGACCTGGGAGCCAGAAAGATCTGGGCCCTACCACTACCCAGATGATCTCAGACAAGCAACTGAACTATTTTGAGCCTCAGTCTCTTTGTCTGTAACAGAGAGATGGGAACAACTAGTTTTCATAGTCTTTGAGGATTAAGCCTGTGGGAAAAGGGTCTAGCGCATGTTAGATGCTCAAGATACTAGAGTTTTCTAGAGCTTTCTAGAGTTTTCTAGAGCTTTCTCACTGATCAGATGCTAAATCCAAATTTCAGTGATGTAAGATTTACAATTCCAGCAAGCAGGGTACTAACCGTAGCTGCAGGAAACTTGTAAATCAGCGATTATTCGGAGAATATTGTTCATCTGATTGGATCTTTGTTCGTTTTCCATGATGCTGCCTGAGGCAGGATATGCAGAATCAATGTAGATTAAATCCAGAAGATAGATCCCTGAAATTAAAGAAGGTATTTAGTAATGGTGGGCATTCGTCCTGAATCAGAACAAGATAGCACAAAACAGCACTACTGTACTAGAAGGTATAAAGTGTGACTTATGGAAAACCGAGATACTATTCTGACTTCACTCCCAATCCCGACTAATTTCTCACATAGACGGCTCCACTGCAACCAGGCATCTGTGTGACAACCAAAATGCATGCTGGCAAGACTTTAGCATTTCTAGTTAATACACTCTCCAGCTACAAGGGTTTTTACCAACCGATGGCATTGGATAGATCTAAGGTGTCATATTCAGGACAATACCCCTTTGGACTGAATTCACTTTTCTACTTATTCACTTAACTATGTGTCTATTTTTCTATCTACACACACACACACACACCAAAATAATAAATTAACTAAGAGACAAAAAAAAATTTTTTTTAAAAGCAACAGTCCTTGGTACAAAGAGTTAAGGCTAGATAGAGAATTTTCTTGAGGGCGCTTAGAAAAGAAAGAAACGCGTGATAGGAAAACATGGTTACGACCTGCCAGTGGTGAACCTCAGCACAGCCTCCTGGCATCAGCCCAACTGGGACTCAGCCAGCGATGGGAGAGGAGGACTGAGTGTGCAGCATGATCCACACCCCTGGCTCTCCACAGGTGTGCATGGACACCAGATGGGATGCTGTCCCAGCAGCCCTCCATGAGGACTGCCACTACATCTATGATACTGGTGAGCTGAGCAGGAGGAACAATAGAAAGCAGAACTCAAGGCAGAAAACACTGCACAAGGCAGAGAGGAGGACTGATACTAATGAAAAGCACAGCTGATTAAGAGGATCAAATTGCTACACGCAAAGCAACACTGCATCAAAATACGCAAAGCAACACTGCATCAAAATACACAAAGCAAAAAACTGCCAGAAATGAAGTGAGTTCAACGAAACCACAATCATAGAAGGAGCCTTTGGCATGTCTCTTCCAGAATGTGTGTGTGTGTGTGTGTGTGTGTGTGTGCGCGCGCACATGCGCACACACTTCTGCATGCTCACATGTATGCAGCTGTGTGCGTGCATGTCTACCTACAAAAAAATACACGCATATACAGATATATGTACATACCTGTGCATATATGAATACTGAGTAATGAAACTAACAAGCTTGGTGTTATATAAATGAAAATATCTCTTTTCAAATATCCATCGAATACTTACAAAAACTGGTTATATATTAGACCATCAAGAAATGCTCAGTAAGTTCCAAAAAGTAAATGCTGTATTACCCACATTCTTTGACCTTACTATATTACACCTAGGATTTAGCAATAAATATAGAAAAAATTCTAACTGATTAGAAAACACACATACACAATCAGAGAAAGACAATTATCACATGATCTCCCTGATATGAGGAATTTGAGAGGCAAAGTGGGGGGTTTGGGAGGTAGGAAAGGAAAAAAATGAAACAAGATGGGATCGGGAGGGAGACAAACCATAAGAGACTCTTAATCTCACAAAACAAACTGAGGGTTGCTGGGGGGAGAGGGGGTAGGGATGCGGTGGTTGGGTTATGGACATTGGGGAAGGTATGTGCTATGGTGAGTGCTATGAAGTGTATAAGCCTGACGATTTACAAAGCCTGATGATTTGTACCCCTGGTGCAAATAATACATTATATGTTAATTTAAAAAATTAAAAAAAAAGAAAACACACATACACCCACAAACATCTCTTAGGTCAAAGAAAAAGCAAAAAATGTAAAACAAAAAACTATTTAAAGATAACATCGGTGAGAACACTATGTATCCAAATGTATGAGATTTGACCAAAGTGGTACTCAGAGGAAAATTGATAGCCTTAAAAGTTTATTAAACTACTAAGAATTATGACAAATACTGTTAAGCAGGTATTTAACATAAAAGTTGTGGGATTTTTTGCATGGATGGACTATCACTGCACTGACTCATACATGCATTATCTTATTAATCCTTACAACAACTCATTTTATAAAGGAGAAAGAGGAAATGCAGAGGGGATGCATAACATGTTCCAGGCCACACAGCTGGTAAATGATGGAGGTGGGAGTCGAACTCAAGCCTGCCTCCCCAGAGCACAAACTTCCTGCCATCACCAGGGACCGCTGGTGCTGGATACCGTGAGTCATTCGTCTGCTTTAAAAATAACTACACATTGTTACGGGAAACCATTAAATCACAGAAACATATGCTAGCACTTCTAATTGGAGCCATTTCTACTTCCTTTCTTTCTAGTGGCACCATGTTTCCAAAATTTTAATAATTAGAAATAATTTCCCTTGTGGAAGCTCCAAGTTTGGTGGGTTGAAATCCACAAATGGATTCTCTCCTTGGATCTTGTTTTTCCTCTCCCTTCTCAAAAATGTAATTCAGTTACCTCTCCAAGGATTCAGCAAAGGCAATCCTGAAAATCCCATTACTGCTTCAACCACAACAAAAAGGAGCCTCTGGGGCTGAGCATGAGGTGACCGGGACAGGGGACACGTGGCACCTCTGTTCTAGCTGCAAACCCCGTGCAGAATGGAACCGAGCCGACAGAGCGGCAGAATGAAGGCTCAGCCAGAAGCAGAGATGTGCGGAGCAGGATAAGGGAAGGGGGCTGGAGAACGGGGGCTCCTGGAAGCTCCACAAGCTGGGAACTTCCCTCTTTACCCATGTGACTCTGCCATCAACCCCTGAGTGTGGAGGAGAAAATGAAAGCTCAGAGAGATTAAGAAACCTATCTAGGCCTCACAGTGGGTGCGTGGGATTGGAGCCCAGGTCTGTCTGGCTCCAGCGCCTGTGTTCCGACCCACTCACTGGCCCTCAGAAACACATGGGGAGTTGGCTTTTCTCAAATGACACCCTCAGCCTGGAAGGCTTGTTCTGTGCTGCCCTGGGAGGACTGAAGCTGGCCCCTTTGCTTCTTCTCAGGTCCCTGGTTATGCAACGGGAGGCCAGGAGAGGCTCTCCTCTAAGGGGTGGCACACCATTTCCATCCCCCGGTGCTCACTTGCACCCCAGGGAGCACAGGGAGCTCACTACGCCAGCAGAACTAATTCCACTGTCAGAGTGTTCATTACCCCTCCACAAAATACACTGACTCCAACACCTGTCTACTCCCCTGAGAGTACACTGTGACACACTGAGCACTGGGGGATGGGGGGCCTCCCCAGAAAGGCCTGTTCCCAGCAACCTGGGCCTTGGTAATGCCTGGACAGATACTCCATCTAAACATCCTTTCAGCCCCACAACAAAAACCGCCCCAAAGGGAGCAAATCTTTTACAGTTAATACTGTGCAAATCCAGGGAAATCTTTTCAGCACTGTTATTAGCCCATAACTGGAAGTATTTAAAAGCCTAAACTGTAATGAAATCATAAGCAGAGTCACCTCCCACTTGTCCCGTGCCAGCGCTGTTCTCAAGCCCCTCGTACAGCTAGTGCTCACCACAAGGGCAACACAATACTTCATTGTATCATTCATGTATTTAACGTCTGATTCCCTCATCAGACTTAAGACTCATCAGAGCAGGAAGTGGGTCGTGCTCCAGAGCTCAGTCCCCGGCAGCTGGAAGAGAGCACGCAGGAGCTGTCTGGCAAACATTAGCTGAATGAAGGATGCATGGAAAAGGCAGATTTTATGTGAGCCCCACAACTTCTTGTAAGTACTTCCCAAGTGCATTACTACCCTTGTTTTGTAGCTGAAGACACAGACACTGAGAGTCAAGTGATGATAATAGTAAAATAAAGAACTAATATTTCCATAAAGGTATATAGAATTTAGTATTTATTTTATTTTTTTAATCACTTTTTTATTTTATTTTTTTAATCACTTTTTTAATGTGAAGTGTAGCGGACACACAATGTTACATTAGTTTCAGGTGTACAACACAGTGACTCCCAGGTTTATACGTCATGCCCTGCTCACCACACGTGTAGCTGCCATCTGTCACCACACGACGCTAGCACAGTATCATCGACTATATCCCTCATGCTGGGCCTTTTATTCCCGTGACTTATTCATTCCATAACCTGATGCTTGTATCTCCCACCCCTTTCCCCCCAAAATTTAATTTTTAGTAAAATTAATTTAGTATTTAAGTAAATAATAACAACAAAACCAAGCACTTACTATGTACCAGGTCCTAAACTAAGAGCTCTGCCCAGATTATGGGATCATAACAGTAATAACAGTAACACAGCTACCAGAGAGGTTTTACCTCTATTTTTACAGAAGAAGAAACTGAAGCCAAGAGAGTTGCTTCAACCTGTCTGAGGCCACGCAATGGGAGAAATGGCTGAGGCAGGATTTGAACATAGGTCTGTCCCGCTGTGTTGTCAGGCCTTCGTTTACCCCAGTCAGATCTTCTGGTGCCCGGCAGCCAGTGAGGCAAGAAGGGGGCACAGCTAGACCCGGAGGTACCCAGGCTATGGCTCTCCCTGTGGGATCAACACTCCCCGTGAAGGCTCACCACCACACTGTGACTGCCCCTCCCGGCCACATCTTCCATCTCCTCCCCTCTGCCTCTCTGGCACTCAGCGTGGCCTATCTGTCCCCGGTCCCATCGTCACTGGGCCCACCCAGGCCTGAAGGCCCTGCCAGCTCTGCCACAAGACAAGCAGCAGTGGCGTCAGTGGGAGAGTGTGGGGCTTGGAGCTGGGAGACTTGGAACCCTGGCCTTGCCACTCACCAGCTGGGTGGCCTCAGGCAAGTCCTTTTCACCTCCCAGGGCCCCAGTTTCTTGACTGGGACTGGGGGTATTGAAGGAGGTCCTGAGGAGTCTCCTGGCCCGGGGCCTGGACCACTGAGGTGCCCAAGAAGCGGAGCCTGAAACTGCCTCCACGGCCAGGCCCCACTCGGAAGAACGTCGGGCCGCCCATGGGAGGGATGCACCCGTCTGGATTTGCCATAACCGTGGATGGCGCCCAGATGCCGACCACATGGCGGCCACCCACCTCAGCAGGCCAGTGCTGGGAGAATCTGTCTGGACGGGG